TCTACTACTACTTCTACTACTACTACTACTACTACTACTACTACTACTACTACTACTACTACTACTTCTACTACTGCTACTACTAAGACTACTACTACTACTACTACTACTACTACTACTACGACTACGACTACGACTACTACTACTACTACTACTACTACTACTACTACTACTACTACTACTACTACATATACTACTACGAGTACTACTATTACTACTACTACTACTACTACTACTACTGCTACGACTACTACTACTACTACTACTACTACTACTACTACTACTACTACTACTACTACTACTACTGCGACTACTACTACTACTATTACTACTACTACTACTACCACTACTACTACTACTAGCACTAGTACTATGTCTACTTCTACTGGTACTACAGGGACTACGACTACTACCACAGCCACCACAATCACAACAACCGGTACTGCCACTACTACTACTACTACTACTACTACTACTACTACTACTACTACTACTACTACTACTACTACTACTACTACTACTACTACTACTACTACTACTACTACTACTACTACTACTACTACTACTACTACTACTACTACTACTACTACTACTACTACAAACACTACTACTACTACTACTACTACTACTACTACTACTACTACTACTACTACTACTACAACTACTACTACTACTACTACTACTACTACTACTACTACTACTACTGCGACTACGACTACTACTACTACGACTACTACTACGACTACTACTACTACTACTACTACTACTACTACTACTACTAATAATAATAATATTTATACTTCTACTTGTTCTACCGGGACTACGACTACTACCACCGCCACCACCACCACAACAACCGTTACTGCCACTACTACTACTACTACTACTACTACTACGACTACGACTACGACTACGACTACGACTACGACTACGACTACGACTACGACTTCTACTACTACTACTTCCCCAAACAGTGCTTGCACCACTAGGGGCTTATACTTCGGTCAACCATCTCGGGACCACCGCCGCAAAATTGCCGCCGCGCCACCCGTCGCCACCTGTCGCCATCTCCGCCCGTCGCCGCCACCCCCGCCCGGTCCCGCCCGTGCCGCCCATCGCCGCCACGTGTTTCGCTTTACTCTGCTGTGCTGTCTTGCTTTGAGCTTCTTCATGAATCGCCTTCTTCGTGGACCGATGTCGACGGCGTAGTCGTGTCATAGAAGAAAGCACCGAGCCGACTTCATCACTACGACCAGCATCACCATCACCACGACAACTACTACTGCTACTTCGCCTCATCCCCTGCCTCCATCCTCCTTTTCCCGATTGGGCCACGGGGTGGGCGCGCGGGAGGGTGTGGCCATGGTCGCTTCGGGGCCCTGCGACCTGTTCAGGTCCAGCGGTATGTCCTGGCGCAGGGCGCGCAGCCGCCCCATGACGGCGCCGCGCAGATCCTTTGGGGCAGCCGACAGGTGTTACTTAACGGGCGAAGAACGGTATAGAATAAACTTGTTCGCTGTCGGGGGCGCCTGTCCCAGGGCGGCTGGAAAGTTTATACCCCTACGGCACGGAGCGGGGGGAGCAGGAACACGCCACGGAGTGGGCGGCCGCGAGCGGAGCAGGCTCGGCGTAGACTTGGCAGAAAGATGCACAGCCGCGGCCGCAGGAGACCCTCACACGAGACAAGACCCTGAAAATCCGCACGCAAGACTCAAACGGAGGGCATGCCAGGGCACCCCGAACGTTGGAGCTTCGCAACGCTCGCGGAGAAGTCGCCGCACAGAGCGCGAAGCGAAGAGACCTCAGGCACAACAAGAAGCACCCGCCTTCCTGATGCGCGTCCCAACGGTATTCCCCTGACCCCCCTGGGGTGCGTCATGACCAAGCCTTCGCGGCGAATCTGGCCGCGGCGACGAGGGGCGGGCACCGGCATCGGTCTGTGTTCCTCCCGCGCAGCTCCTCCGGGGGAACAGGCGATGCCAACATCGCTGTTCCGCGGAACCTTCCAGGGACGCGTCGACCAAGCACTCGGGGCGAATCCAGCCGTGGCGACGAGGGACAGAGAGCGGCATCGGCACATGGGCGACGATCAAAAACGGGTCATACGCGAGATGACGCAGCGACCTCACGCGGCGGCTTCCGCGGGCCGCTGGCGCGGCACGCTGCGCCTGAAGCGAGGGCGCCTACGCGAAGAGCTTACGCGAGGAACTCCCGCACGAACGTCGGCGCGGACGGCCCCGTCTTCTCCGCGTCGCTCACCTGCTTCTCGGCGGATCCTCCAGCTGGTTGTGCGCGGCCATGGCCAGGCGCTGCCGCCTCTCCGAGGGGTCCTCCTCGGGCCGACGACCGAGCACGGCGCAGGAATGCACTCGCGGAGGCCCGCTCGGATGTCCTGGACCCGCGTCGGGCACTCCTCCCTAGGGAGCACACAAAGGACGTACGCGCCCAGCTATGTACATGAACACGGCCCCTTGACCCGCGAGACCTGCCGCGCGATATGAACATTCGCGCAATGCGAACTCTCGAAACCAGCGTGGATTCATGTACATGTACGTCCTTCTTTCGCTCCTGACTCCCCCGGCGCGCCGAGCGCGCCAGGGGCGGACCCAGAGGCGCGGGGAGGGGGATCCGTCGCCGACCCAGGAGATCCACGCAGGACTCCCAAACGCTCGCGCAGGCAGGCTGCTGCCAGGAAGGGCACCGGCTACCCCGGGGCGGAGCCTGATCGGTGCCTTTCGTTCTCGTCTGCTTGTCGTTGTCCCTCGCTTTTGTCTCGCAGCCGCGCCTTTCCCGCAAAACGAACTCGAAACGAAAACGGCCCACGAAATCGCCAAAAAAAACACCGCTTGGGTCCAGCCCCGAGATGCGCAGCGAGCCCCAAGTGTTGGCAGCAAGAGAGGGAGCCCGGGAGGCACACGAGGAACGCCCGAGGAGCAGCACGCGGGAGGGACCCGCGGAAAGCAGCGGGCCCCTCACGAACCCAAGCTGCTCCTTGTTCCAGCGTCTCGAATGTATGCAGAAGGCAAAATATCCACCCCCATAGTTCGGGGATGGACAGGCCTCCCTTTAGTAAAACGTGGTTTAGTGAACACCACCTCGGGCCCAGACCTGGCGGGCGCAAGCCTGGAAAATAACGGCCGCGGCGCCCTCTCGAGATCGAAAACGGACAATTCACTAATCGACGTGTCAGGGTAGGAGGTCTGTCCACCCCCGAATAATAACCACCCCGACACGCGAGGCCGTTTACGAAACGCCCCCACTGAAGGAATCAAACAGGGCAGGGCTGTTAAAAAAAATCCCAAAGCCGCTCTGTAACCCCCGATTGTCCGGTCCGGGTGGTTGTTCTTCCCTTGAGTATGATCAGCTTTGTCGATCTCTCTGGAGGGAGTGAAAAGTGCGGCCACGGCCATGACTGCACGCGGAAACGTCGGTATCGATGCTGGTCACCGTCCATCGTGGCTGGTCACCGTCAGTTCGTGGATCATCCTAGCGAGCCGGCGACGGCAGGCATGGACAGGCATGGACCACGACCAAGACCAGCATCGACAAGATCTCGCGACAACCTTGTCACGGTCACCGTGCATCTTCCCCCGGTGTTTCCCCTTCGGCTCCTGCCTGCAGCGTCTCGGCTGTACGGCGGGCTCTTGTCATGACGAACGCGGCGCTGGTTTCCGACACCGCTTGGACTGTTCAACCTTCGATCGACGGCCTTCCGATAGCCAGATCATCCCATTTGGGCCGATTCCAGGTGACGTTCAACCTCGAAGGCCCGCGGCAAGGCCGGCAGCGTCGACACGACGCGAACCTGCCGAACAGAGCAGGGAGCCCCTTCCGAACCCGAAATGTTCCCCATTCCAGCGTCTCAGCTGCGTTACGCTTCCGTTGCTGACCCCCATACAGGAAGTGCCGGCCAAGGCCTGCAGCGTTCGCAGCTGGGCTGCTTCAAACGAATCACGCCCGCGGCGTCAACGACAGTGAAGTGACTGCTGCTCTGGGCAAGACTTGCCGTCGGCCTGCCTTCCCGTTCTTTCCGTACCTATTTGGGCGGACCGACCTTACTCCAGCGTCTCGGCTGCATTCGGGGGACTCGGGCTGGCCTGACGGGGCCGTCGGGAGCATGACGAGACCGAATTGAAACCTGGCGCGAGCTCCCGCTGCGAAGGCCCCACGAAAACTGGACTCTCCACACTCGGGATGGGCTCATCAAGAAGCGTCGGTAGACCCAAACTCAAGACTTACGCTTCTCCGATGTATGTTTTCGGGGGAGGAAGAAGACGGAGCACGACCACACAAGTTCACGCTGCTCAGCCTCAACCGCTGTGCGAATCAACATGTTGTCAGGCAAACCATGACCCATGACCCCGACACGAGCCTACCTGCGATGCGTCAGCTCATGAGTCAACCGTGGCCTGGGAGAGGGAAATGAAGCCCTAACGGTCAACGAAATTACCTGTCTCGACCGTGCCGACTTACTCCAGCGTCCCGGATGTACGCTTCTGTTGCGGCTCCCGCCATTCGCCTCCTGCAACAAGCGCCCCCTCCTCCTCCTCCTCCTCCTCCTCCTCCTCCTCCTCCTCCTCCTCCTCCTCCTCCTCCTCCTCCTCCTCTGCCTCCCTCCCTGCCTTCTCCATCGCTATTTCTCATTGCCTTCGCGCCTTCCATCCCTCCCTCCTCGTCCTTGCCCTCCTCTGGGGAAAACAAAATAAACCGGTAGCGCTACACCCCAGACCTCTAGGGGCGCGTTCGGACCAGGATGTCGAGGCGAATCCAGCTATGGCGACGAGGGCCTACCGGGAGGCCCCCAGAAAGTGAGAAGCGAGACTCAGGGGAGGAAAGGGGTACCCTTTCCTCCACTGAGTCCTCCTCCTCCTCCTGCTCCGCTTCTCCTCCGTCTCCCTCCTGCTCCTCCACCTTCTCCTCCCGCTCCTCCTCCTCCTTCTCCGCTCCCCGTCCTCTAACCTCATCTCCTCCTCCCCTTCACCTCCTCCTCCTCCTCCCTCCTCCTCCTCCTCTCCTCCTCCTCCTCCTCTCTCCTCCTCCTCCTCCTCCTTCCTCCTCCTCCTCCTCCTCCCCTCCTCCTCCTCCTCCTCCTCCTCCTCCTCCCCCTCCCCCTGGAGCCCAGCATCGAGGCCCGTCGGCTCCTGCTGCGCACGCCCCTCGGCGGCGACGGCGGCCTTCTCGCCCGAGCGGCGCCCCCGCGCGGGCTGGGCCGGCTCCGCGGGCTCGGCGGCCGCCGGCGCCGACGCCCGGCCCCCGCGGGCTGCGCCCCGGCCGCCCCTGCCGACGACGACGTCGACGACGTCGACGTCGACGTCGACGACGACGACGTCGACGACGAGGCCGAAGACGAGGCCGACGACGACGACGACGACGGCGCCGACGAGTCCGAGCCATCACCGCCGCCTGCTGGGATCGGCGCGGGGCGGCGCGGGGGGTAGGAAGGCCCAGCAGAGGATGCCACGAACGCTATATTTATGTTTACGTGCATATGTTTTAAACAATGCAGGGCTCTAACGCTTTACGTATCTGGCCTAACCGAGCTCGTAAGTGAGCCACGAACACCCGATAAGGCTCGGGGTCGGGGTACCGATCCGGGCTAGGTGGGCTCCGCCCACTCAGCAGAGTTACCTCGCCCTCCCAAGTCACTTTGGGCACAGCTCACCCACTCATTAGCGGGGTTGAGCCAGGCGTACCCCACCGCGGCGTGCTGGTGCTCGTGCTGGTGGTGGTGCTGGTGCTGGTGGTGGTTGTGATGGTGGTGGTGGTGGTGGTGGTGGTGGTGGTGGTGGTGGTGGTGGTGGTGGTGGTGGTGGTGGTGGTGGTGCGGCGCGGTGGTGGCGGGCGGATGGGCGCGCGAGAAAGAGGCCCGCGCTGGGGCGAGAACGCCATCCTGAACGACGGAGGCCAAACACCGATCCGAAAATGAGGCCCACGCTGCAGCGGGAGCACGATTCGGAACGAGTCGGGAGCAGAAATGAGGCCGGCGCCTCAGCGAGAGCATCATTACAAAACAAAAAAAAAAAAAAACGCAAGCGAAAACCCGTTTCCCAGGAATCCTGTGTAAAAAACAATACGCGGGGGGCGTTCGGCCCGAAAATGACGCCGGCGCCTCAGCGAGAGTCGTTTCCCGGGATTTCCCGGGCATCCTGTGTGTAAAAAACAGTACGCGGAAAATGCGCGGCCATCACCCGGACGCCCTCAGGGGAAGAGGGAGAGTATTTTCATATTGAGTAATTGTGGAGGAGGAGGAGGAGGAGAAGGAGGAGGAGGAGGAGGAGGAGGAGAGGAGAGGAGGATGAGGAGGAGGAGGATGAGGAGGAGAGGAGGAGGAGGAAGGGAGAGAGGAGGAGGATGAGGAGGAGGAGGAGGGAGAGGAGGAGGAGAATCAGGATAAGCAGGAGAAGAAGGAGAAGAATGAGAAGGAGGAGAAGGAGAGGAGAAGATAAGGGAGGAGAGGAAAGGAGAAGGAGAAGGAGAAGGAGGAGGAGGAGGAGAGGGGAGGAGGAGGAGGAGGAGGACGGGCGATGGGGGAGGAGGAGGAGAGGAGGAGAAGTCAACATGCATAAACAAAAAAAAAAAAATAAACAAAAAAACGAAAAAAACAAAACAGGAACAGGAACTGTTGGCGCTGCGCGCAAATTTCTTGGAACCGCGCTGGGCCCCCCTGGCGGCGCCTCTGGCGCCGCCCCTGGCGCGCTCCGCGCGCCAGGAAGGGGGGCCCAGCGCGGACGCGAGAGATCCGCGCGGAACGCCAAAAGATTATGTTTATGCCGCTTCTTCCGCTACCCCAGAAGCAACCCCGCGCCGACCCGACGGGGGATCGATCCGTGGGCACCACGGCAGGCGGTGGACACGCGCAGACCCGGGCCCGGGGCGGTGGTGGCGAAGTCTCCCCGCCTCGGACCTGCCGCGGCCCCGCCCGCCGGGCTTCGGCTTCTTCGGCGGCGGGATGTACCAGCCGCACCCCTTCTGCTTCTCCCTCGGCCGGCGGAAGAAGAGCTGCACGGTCGGATCGGCTCAGCGCGGGGGGGGGCAGTGTCAGGTGGGGCCCGTCCACTTACGGGGAGATCTGGGCGAAGATTAAAACATAGTCCAAACATGCTCCCAAAGAGTAGAAAAATGGTCCCCAGGCTTTCTCTTGTGACTCTCTTTTTAGATGTTCCTCAGGTATAGGGACAGGTCCGACTTAAGGGCAGTGCAGAGAGAATATCGCAAACCATCTCTCGCAGCTGATGTTCCCGGCGCCTTCGCGAGCAGGAGGCGATGACGTGCCGAGGAGAAGGGCGAGGCGGCGCGGCCGAAACCGGCAGCGTGCCGCAGAGTTCGTATCTCCCCATTCCCTGCCAAATACCCAAATCTGAGACCCCAGGACGTCCATTGATCTGTGGTGTGGGAACGTCGCGCTTTCCACAGCAAAACCATCGCAACCCAGGAAACCCAGACCACCCTGGAGGCAAGCAGGGTGTTTCTTGGCATGGGTTTCCACTGCAATTCAAATCCGCCGCCCAAATGGGGCCAGGGCAGCTGTGGTCGGGGGATCGCACCGCATCGCCAATGCATCCAAGAGCACCGGCAACGTCGGGACTGGGGAAAACGTTCTCGGGGTCGCGCCGCGTCGCCGATGCAGCGACGACGTAGCGAAATCCCCCGACAGCGCCTACTCCAGCCCAGTTGGGCGGCCTGGAAATTCAGAATCCGCCGACCCCGTCGAATCCTCCAACGCCGTCGGCGGTGAGGGGGAGTCCTGGGGAGGTCGTCCAGGGCTGGCCCTGGGACACGCCTTTCCACTCGAACCTCTTCCCCCCAGTTCGCTGCGGCCACTCGGGTATCTCCGAGCTCGCTGGCCCAAAACGAAGCGATCCATGTCGTAATCGGGTCGGGGGAAAACCCTTGCCTTTAAGTGACCCCTTTTCCGCCAGGAGGAGTAGGAGGGCGAAGGAAGGTTTCCCAGGAGTGACCCGGACGACCTGGGGGCGAGTTTGGCTATCTTTGGGCCACTTCGGCCCAGTAGAGCCCTCTCAGGGCCCACCTCAGCGCTCGCGGGCCGTCGCGGAAATCAATCCTGGGGGCGGGCCCGAAATGCAAAAATCGGCTGACTCCGATTGGTTCTTGTATGATCTGAACATGGCCCAAGAACCTCCCAAGACCCGTCCAGCATGGCCCAAGAAACCCCTGGCCTCCAAGAGGGGCCCTAGAACCCCTCAATAGGGGTCCACAAAGCACGCCTCTGTCGCACCGTTAGAAGCCAAGACGCCCGCAAGAGACCACCGACCCAGGCGCAGCGGCGGTCCTTAAGGGTTCTCACTTTTGCGCTCTAAGGACAGGGCCTGGAACTTGGTCTGGCGGCCATGTGGCCGCCGTCGCCGCCCCGTCGCCGCCCCGTCACCGCCCGTCGCCTGGGCCTGAAACTTGGTGCGGCGGCTAATGTCGCCGCCGTCGCCGCCCTGTCGCCGCCGGGCGTTTGGGCCTGAAACTTGGTGTGGCGGCCATGTCGCCGCCGTCACCGCCCCGTCGCCGCCTCGTCGCCGCCCCTCGCCTGCGCCTGAAACTTGGCCCGGCGGCGATGCCGCCGCCGTCAAAGCCCCGGCGCCGCCTCGTCTCGCCAAAACATTGCACCGCATGATTCACACCACATGGGTTGCCCCTTCTAGAAAATATGGGGATCCCCCCTCTACTTTTCTTATCAGGTCCCCCTGGGGACGTGCAATTGACACACGATGCTGCCCCATGATCCATCATAGATATCCGCCGGCCCCCTTGTGGGGCCACCAGGCTGTAGGCCGAAGGTTCGCAGTTTCCTGTACCAGTTGCAGCTTCCAATGTCCACTGTTACAGTTCTGCTTCTTGCTGCTTACTGTTCCTTGTTGATGGACCGCGCGAGGGGGGGAGGCCCAAAATGGGCAATTTTACCACGCCCTGAGCGTGTTGTCTGAATTGCTGGGGTGGGTGAAAATGTACACCCATCACGCAGATCGGCGGGGTCAGGGTCCAAAAACACATGGGATGTGCCACATTTCTCAACATTTGCTGGCACCCCTCACGCAGATGGGCGGGGTCAGGGTCCAAAAACACTAGAGATTTGCCACATGTCTGACACTCGGCGGCACCCCTCACGCAGATCGGCGGGGTCAGGGTGCAAAAACACATAGGATTTGCCACATTTCTAAAATTCAGCAGCACCCCTCACGCACATCGGCGGGGTCAGGGAGCAACAACAAATAGGGCTTGCCACATTTCTGATATCCGGTGGCACCCCTCACGCAGATCGGCAGGGTCAGGGTCCAAAAACCCATTAGATTCGCCATGTCTTTAAAATTCGGCGGCACCCCTCACGCAGATCGGCAGGGTCAGGGTCCAAAAACAAAAGGGATTTGCCACATTTCTGAAATTCGTCGGCACCCCTCACGCAGATCGGCGGGGTAAGGGTTGAAAAACAAAAGGGATTTGCAACACTTCTGACATTCGGTGGCACCCCTCACGCAGATCCGTAGGGTCAGGGTTGAAAAAACAAACAAGTCCCGACACTGCTTCACGCTGGCGCCCAGACCTCGTGATTTAGCTTTTGCATCTCCCATTATCCGAGACAGGGGGCCGGCGGCATGGGGCGAAGCCCTTACGGATAAACTCAGACCATCCGAAGCAGGCCGGACCCCCCCAAAAGTTCCCAAAAGAACATATTATGCGCGCACTCGTTTCTTTTAAAAAACATCAGTGAACCTTTTGCACAAAACGGGACAATGTGTACACGCGCGCCTCGTCTCGCGCGCGCGCATGCCAACATCTTCGTATAAAGGCACGTAGGTGCTGATATCGAGAATCCCGAAAACATTCAGAAACATATCTTGGCGAAGGACCCGGCCATGTGCAGTTGTGGGTACCACAATCGTGAATATCTTTTTCGGTGAAGCTCCGTATGGGGCCACGAAGCGCTGCAGTGGGTGGGAGGGAACGCATGCGGGCGGTAGCACTGGGGCCGTCGGTGGAGCTCCCTATTGGGTGTGTGGGACGCACGCGGGCGGTCCCAGTGGGAGCTTCGGAGGAGCGCCCTATGGGGCCACGCGACGCTGTACTGGGTGGGTGAAAATCCCAAATTGGGCGTTCCGGGGCGCATGCGGACGGTGGCACTGGGGGCTTCGGTGGAGCGCCCTATGGGGATACGAAACGTTGCATTGGGTTTGTGAAAATGCCAAATTGAATGTTCCGAGACGCGTGGGGACGGTGGTACTGGGAGCTTCGGTGGAGCTCCCTATGGGGCCACGAAACGCTGTACTAGGTGAGTGAAAATGCCACATTGGATGTTCCGAAACGCATGCGGACGGTGGCACTGGGGGCTTCGGTGGAGCACCCTATGGAGGCACGATACGCTGTGCTGGGTGGGTGCAACTGCCAAATGGGTGTTCCGGGGCGCATGCGGACGGTTGCACTGGAGGCTTCGGAGGTGCTCCCTATGGGGCCCGGAAACGCTGTAGTGGGCCGGTGAAAATGCCAAATTGTGTGTCCGGGGACGCATACGTACTGACTGTCCCACTGGGGGCTTCGGTGGAGCTCCTTCTGGGGCCACGAAACGCTTTATTGGGATAGTGAAAATGCCAAATTGGATGTTCCAGGACGCATGCGGACGGTGGCACTGGGGGCTTCGGTGGAGCTCCCTATTGGGCCACGAAGCGCTGTACTGGGTGGGTGAAAATGCAAAATTGGATGTTCCGGGACGCATGCGGACGGTGGCACTGGGGGCTTCGGTGGAGCTCCCGATAGCTGGTTCGGTGATTAATTTCAAATTGGGCGTTCGGGGACGCATGCGGACGATGACACTGGGGGCTTCGGTGGAGCTCCCTATGGGGCCACAAAACGCTGTATTGGGCAGGCGACAATACCAAGGGGGGAAGAAGAATGGGGAGGGGGAGGAGGAAGGAAGGAGGGAACGCGGGGACCGTCTCTTCAAAACGAGGACCCAACACCACAAGATGGTTGGGAACTATGGTTCCGCATTAAGGATTGTAAAAAAACTGCGTTCGCGCTCTTGCAGAATCTTCAGGAAACCATTGTTTCAACACTCTCATAATGTGCTACCAAGAGGCCTCTCGCGCGCGCATGTCGAAATCGTTCGGACGCCCTTGCGCGCGTGCTGTCGCAAGAATCCATGGCAACAAACGGGACGAAGTACACGCGGGAAGGAAAAGGAACAACAATATGATAAGGGTGATAACGCAAACTGCAACAATGAGTGATCGCTGGTTTGATTGATCTACCTCTCTCTCTCTCTCTCATTATGCCTGCATGTTAAACGAACGAATGAACACCAGGTTGCATGGTGCGGACCTCAAATGTAGCCTTGTGTACACATTTATATAGTTATATGATGAGTATATGTATTTATATACAGATGCATATATGTGTGTACGTGTATAGCGACCTCTCGTTTGTTATGTCACTTTCTGTTGGTCCCCAACTTCCCTCAGCACCGAGGGCCACCCAAGCAATCACTCTGTCAGTGTCGCCTTCAAGCGTGGCGCACTTACACCTGGGTCACCCCAAGTCAGGGCATCTCGGAGCCAGGGATTCCGAGGATGTTTCAGGCGAGTCGGGCCTGAGCACGTTGCGGACCACGTCTTGGAACACAGCGTTGTGAGAACGTCTCGAGCGAAACGGGCCAGATCACCTCAATTCAAGGCATCTCGCAGTAGCCCCGGGATTTGGAGGATGTCTCAGGCGAAACGGGCCTGAATACCTCGCGAACCATATCTCGGAACCCAGAGTTGTGAGTACGTCTCGAGCGAAACGGGCCAGAGCATGCAAATCCAAGGCATCTCGAAGCCATAGGGTCCGAGGATGTCGCAAGCAAACAGGCACACCTTGGAACCCGGAAGTGTGAGGACGCCTCGAGCGAGACGAACCAGAGCACATCAAGTCAAGGGCCTCCGAGTGGGCCATGGGGCGCACTCAGCTCTTTGGAGGGCAGCCCCTCCTCGGCACCGCCGCTGGGGTTGCCTGGGTCGCCCGAGACTGTCCCCGGCGACCCGGGCAGCCGGGCGCGGGTGCTCTGCCCCCTCGCAAGCCAAGGCAAGCCCTGGATCGCCTGTTTTTGGGCCCTCCCTGTCCAAGACAGGGAGGGCCCAAAAGTGTCGTCCCAGAGCGGGGACTGGTTGTTCCTTCCTCAGTTCCAGGCCTCCCAGATGCGGCCAGAAGAGATGGGGGCAGAACACCACGCCGCATCGGCGATGCGTCGCGGGCCTCCTCCTCTTCCTCCTCCTCCTCCTCCTCCTCCTCCCCAGAAACCAGCCGAAGTGGCCAGCGAGGACCAGACAGCTCCGAACACACACTCCTCCCACTCTGCAAAACCAGCGGACCGACGGACCCTTCGAGGCCTCCCCACCGTCTGGGCGCGAGCGGGCCCGTGGCGCACCCCTCGTCGGCAGAGCACCGGGCCACACCACCAGGCCCAGTCGAGCCGCGGCCAGCCCCGGCGACGAGAAGAGTCCCGAGAGCAGTGAAGACAGGAGTGCGTGTCTGACAGCAGTACGAGCATTACCCTTCCTACACCTTGTCCTCAGTCATCCTGCTCCTCCTCCTCCCCATCATCCTTCGCTTCGCACTCCTCAACGGGTGCTCCGAAGTGCGGGGGGGTCTCATGCGAAACTGGCTGGACCCCCTCGTACGCGGCATCCCTTTGCCTACAATTGCGGGAACGTATCAGGCGAAACTGACAGGATCACCTCGCGGGCGGCACCTTGACGCCTTGTGTAGCGACGATGTCTCAAGCGACACAGGCGAGGCAACCTCAGGTCACGGTATCCCGCGTCCAAAAGTTCTGAGGATGCTTCGGGCGAGATGGGCCAGACCACCTCTCGCGTAGCGTCTGGAAGCCCAGAATTGCAAGGATGTCTCAAGCGAAACGGGCCAGACCATGTCAAATCTGGCCGTCTCGGAACGCACACTTGCGAGGACTTCTCATGCGGAACGGGCCGAACCACCTCAGCATGTCGCCAATTTCTCGACGCGAGGGCCCCTCGGGCCGCATTCGTTCTTACCGCCACAAGGCCCCCCGGCACCGGCACGGCGACCTGGAACACTCCAAGACCAAACCGTTCGAACGGAAACAAGCGAGAAGTTCCTATATTTATACACACATCTAAATATGTATATAGGTATATACATTCACATATAATTCGCCCTCGCATGGAAGCCGCCACTGCCCCTTGCCACCCTCCCAATGTCGCCCCTCACGCCCACAATCTTCACTTTTCGGGGTCGGCGGAACCAGCCCGACAGCCTTGAAAGTCAATGCTGCAAACGTTCTAGGCGCCCACAGAAGGTGGAAAACTTATACGGCCGGACATGCAGAACAATATCCTCCAAGAGCATGAGACCCTCCGCCGGCCAAACTGCAGGACGTTCGAGGGTATCCCCCCTCAGGGTGCACAAGAACATCCAACAGACACGAAGACCATTAGGCTACGCTCCCCGAACAAAGCTCGATCTTATGCCTCGCTCCGACCGTACTTCGAAAGTCGCCCTTCGTCCGCCGACGCCTCAGGTGGACCGTGCCGGCGGCGTCGTCCACGTCGATTTTCCCGTTGCGGTCCAGGTCCTCTGGCGAAGGGGGCAAGCAGATTCTGAGGCACAGGTTTCAGCTCGCTGAGGGGCAGCGAACGCGATCTGTGTTTCTGGGGCGACGGAGGAGGAGACCATGCTCCTAGCGCAAGAGCAAGCCTCAGCAGCCCAATCGTTGGTCAGAGCAAACCTAGGGTCCGAACTTGTCGCGAAGGGGTGTCGTAAGGATTGTCATTGACGGATCAGGCGCGCTGGCTGAGCGTATTTCGAAAGCCGGGCAAGGGCTGCTAAATCCGTGGCTGCTAAAATCGACCTCCGGGAAGTTGTCTTCGTCCTTCCGGGAAGAAGCCCGTTGACCGTTTCGCGTGCCGCGCCTCATTCCGGGAAGTTGTTTTTTCCTTCCGGGAGGGCCGTTTTAGCAGCCACGGTCTTAGCAGCCCTCGCCCAGCTTCCGAGTATTGGGATCTGGCCCTGGACACAACGCTGCCCCCCAAGCGACCTCCAAGGCACAGGGGCCCGGCACCCCAAGGCCTCCCACCGGGACCCGTTCCGCATGGGCTCTCCTGCGGACAGCCCCGGAGCGCGTGGAGCACCCCAGGAGCCCGAGAGCACGAAACGGCGCCAGGACCCATCTCCCTCGGGACCCCTCCTCCTCCTCCTCCTCCTCCTCCTCCTCCTCCTCCTCTCCTCTCCTCCTCCTCCTCCTCCTCCTCCTCCGCCTCCTCCTCCTCCTCCTCCTCCTCTCCTCCTCCTTTTTTCCTCCTCCTCCTCCCTCCTCCTCCCATCCCCTCTCCTCCCCTCCTCCTCCTCCTCCTCCGCCTCCTCCCCTCTCCTCTCCTCCTCCTCCTCCTCCTCCCTCCTCATCCTCCTCTCCTCCTCTCCTCCTCCTCCTCCTACCCTCCTCCTCCTCCTCCTCTCCCTCCTCATCCCGCCTCTCATCCTCCTCCTCCGCCTCCTCCTCCTCCTCCTCATCCTCCTCTCCTCCCTTCACCCTTTTCCTCCCTCCTCCTCCTCTCCCTCCTCCTCTCCTCCTCCTCCCTCTCTCCTCCTCCTCCTCCTCCTCCTCCTCCTCCTCCTAATCCTCATCATCATCATCCTCCTCCTCCCTCAGGAACCCTTCGGCGATGGACAAACCTCCCTTCAATAAACCTTCCCTTAGTGAAAACGGCCTGGGACCGAAACCGACGGACCTGGACCCGCAAAAAAGCCGGCCGCGACGCCCTCTCGCGAACCGAAAACATGATCGACCCACGAACCCGGAAAGGAATATAGAACTGTAACACACGGCAGCATGTTCAAACACACCTGATTGGGTGACGGGCAAATGCAATGCTGTGATGAAAGTTGAAAGTCTGAAAGTATGGAAAGTATCATCTGATTTGTTACCCTCCTTATTGCCGGGGAAGAGCTGTGCTGCGTGCTTGTGTCTTTGCCTGCCACCGTGCTGAATTGCGAATGCCATGCCGCGGTTGTGCCGCGATTGTTGCTCTATAGCGTCCATGGTGGATCGAGTCCTCCCTTTGCATCCGAGAAAGGATAACAGATTCCTGACCGAACGATCCGGGAAACTTAAGCTTCGCTGCGAGCTGGCCAGAACACCTAATAGTATTGGGGCCCAGAGCAGCAGAGCTAATGACAGCGTGCGAGACGCCAGCGGGGACAGGAGGACGCGAGGACGCGCCCGCGGACGAAACGTCCCAAGGGATGCCACAAATGCGCCCAGGCGACGTGCCAGGGGGAAGTCGCATGGGGTCGCACCGCGGGGACGTGCCAAGGGACGCGCCATGGGGACGCACCGCGGGACGTGCCAAGGAGACGCTGCCAATGGACGCGCCACGGGATGTGCCAGGGGGACTCGCCAAGGGACGCCCCACGGAACGTGCCAAGGAACGTGCCAAGTTGCAATGCTGAGTGTATCGATCTTGATGTACCGAGCCGAAATCTGTGCTGTGCTGCGCCGTGCTGAATTGCGATGTGCCATGCCGCGATTGTGCTCTATAGCGTCGTGGATCGAGTCCTCCTTTGCATCCGAATCCTGACCGAACTGATCTGGATCTTAAATTCGAGCTGCCTGAACACATAGTAGCTGCCCCAGAGCTAATTGCCAGGGGGACATGCCAGGAGGACGCGACGCGGAACGTCTCAAGGGACGCGCCAAGCGACGTGCCAAGGGACGTGCCATGGGGACGCACCGCGGGACGTGCCAAGGTGACGCGCTACGGAACGTGTTGGGGACAAGCGTTTCGCTCGAGACATTCTGCCAAAATCCTCAGAATTCCTACGCGCGGGACGCGGCACGCGCGAGACATCCTCGGAATTCCTGCGGGCGGGACGTGAAAACAAGCATTTCGCCTGAGACATCCTCTGGATTCTGGCCCCCCACGAGGCCCCCGCTCGAGACATCCCCCAATGTTGCAAAACCAGCATTTCGCTCGAGACATCCTGCCAACAGTCAATGAAATCCGAACAAAACAAACGAATTAGTCGAGACGTCCTCTGAATTCTTGCGAGCGGGACGTGAAAACAAGCATTTCGCCTGAGACATCCTCTGAATTCTGACACCCCACGAGGCCCCCGCTCGAGACACCCATTAATTTTGCAAAACCAGCGCTTCGCTCGAGACTTCCTCAACAAATTATGAAAAGCAAGCGTTCCGCTCGAGACATCCTCTCAAAATCCCAAGAAATCCTTGCAAAACAACAGAATTAGTTTAGACATCCTCAAAATTCCTGCGCGCGGGACGCGGCACGCGCGAGATATCCTCGGAATTCCTGCAAGCGGGACGTGAAAGCAAGCATTTCGCTTGAGACATCCTCTGAATTCTGGCACCCCACGAGGCCCCCGCTCGAGACATCCCCCCAATTTTGCAAAACCAGCGTTTCGCTCGAGACATCCTCAACAAATCATGAAAAACAAGATCCCTCGTAAATTACACTACACCCGCGCTCCCAGGGCCACGATCCCTCGTAAATTACGCTACGTCAGCGCTCCCAGGGCCACGATCCCTCGTAAGGGCTCCTGGGCCCTCCTGGGTCTTCCTTGGACCTCTTGGGCCCTCCTGGGTTCTCCTGGAGCCTCCTGGAGCTTCTCCTAGGCCCTCCTTGGGCCCCCTGGTGCCTCTTGGAGCCTTCTGGGTCCTCCTGGGCCCTCCTGGGCTCTCCTGGGCCCTCCTGGGCTCTCCTGGGCTCTCCTGGAGCCTCCTGGGCCCTCCTGGGCGAAGTCAAAGTCAGAAAACTTATGGAACTTGCCACATTTCTGAAATTCAGTGCCACCCCTCACGCAGGTCGGCGGGGTCAGGATCCGAAAACACAGGGATTTGCCATATTTCTGGAATTCCGTGCCACCCCTCACGCCGATCGGCGGGGTCAGGGTCCAAAAACACAAGGGATTTGCCACATTTCTGGAATTCCGCGCCACCCCTCATGCAGATCGGCGGGGTCAGGGTCCAAAAACACATGGGATTTGACACATTTCCGGTATTCCGTGCCACACCTCATGCAGATCGGCGGGGTCAGGGTCAAAAAACACAAGGGATTTCTGCGATTTCCGAACTGATGCAACTTCAAGGATCCAAAACTCCGTTCCCAGCGCCGTTCCGGAGGCCGCGGTACCTCGTTATTTATCGAGCGAACGCGTTTACCTCGTTTTTTATCGTTTAAAGTCGGTGTCGGAAAAAAGTGGACTTCACCTGTGAAATATCGAGGTTTCCTTAAAGGCAGTAAAATTCCAAGAGCACGATCTGCGTGAAGGGTGGCGACAAAATGGCCTTCGTCCTCACAAATGAAATCCGCCGGCCCCCTTCGACCTCGTAATTTATCGCACTAGAAATCCGCCGGCCCCCTTCAAGTGAAAACCGGGGGTAAACAATCTAAAAGAGAACCCTGGGCCTAAGCCCTTTCCGGGAAAAAGCCAATTCCTTAATCGACGTGTCAGGGTAGGAGGTCTGTCCACCCCCGACCCCCTTCGTCGGGGGCGGCAAAAAGGGGGGCGTCAAAGAGGGGGGGGGCAAATCATGACCAGCAGCATGTGCGCGGCCCAGCGGGGGGACCAGGGACGTAATGGAGCAAGAAGAGGCGCCATGAAATCTCGGGAAATA